ACCGGGGGTTGAGGGACCTTCTGTATCTTGCATGTAGTCCTTGCCTTCCAGAAGGTGCTCTTGATCAGCTTGGATGAAGTCCGGTGACGCCTCTAGAATGAATATTCTTTGGAGAATAGGAGACGCCCATGGACTTCATCTTCAGGACATGAGTATTTTACCTCTTTCTCCTCCACAATGTAGTCTTTTTTACTGTTTGGAATGAATGCATTTGAAGAGAACTTGTCGGTGGCACAGCGGAACATAATGATGGTTGATTTGTGAGTGTAGCTGACCATTTGAGTTGCGGAGATAGTAGAGAGGGTGTTGGAGGAGAGAAGTGTCCCAGAATGATTTTTTGACAGTTAACAGCATGTGGACCACTCTCCCCCTCATGACGATCCGATGATTCGGGACGTCATGCCTTTATTCTTTTATTCTGCGGAAATAAAAACAGAAAAAACAAGCAGAATCTAAAGAAGATAATGTAGCCCCCCGGGGTCGTGAAGACGCCCGTTATCATCACTATAGAGATAAACTCTTTAGCAATGGCCTGAAAATGTTGGTGATTCTTATGTTGCAACAGCAGGACTTCCTTCCAATTATTGGTCTACATCTGTAATAGATGAGCCCTATGGAAGTTCTCGCGGGTCATGTAGACCTGCAACTGACTCTAAAAGTGTGTCTGTGTCCTAGAAAATTTCAAAACATTTGGGAGTGAGTAACTAGACACGACGTGATCAATGAAAGTTCAGTGGCATGGGGCTGAGGCCACTGTAGTCAGTATTACTTGCCTCGGAAGGAGACAGTAATGAGAGATGCGGTTCCCCGTGAACTATGATTAAACACCTGTCTGTTGGGAGACAAGTGAGTGGTCTAGGGTAGGGTTATGCATGCGCCGTTTGGACAAAATGCAGCGACTTCTACCCGGGATCTGAATAAATTCAGTCCTGAACCTATGGGGATAGTCCAGGGTATTTTAGTGGCTAGGAGCAAATGGTCAATTCATAGCAGGCAATTGAGGTAGCAGACTCATCATTGATAATTGTTTCCTTCTCACTCGAGCCTTCTGCTTCCTAATGCTCATAATGTTCACTCACTCACTCGCTCACTTACGCACTTACGCTCGGCTTTGTCCCTTGGGTAGGCTTAGTTGGGTTTACTAAGCCATAGGGACATGTTCTCTCATTACTTTCTTCTTTTTCTCTCTGTACTCCCCATCAACTGGAGTACTCGGTATGCTTTGTCATTGTTAGGCACCGGGAAGGGTAACATTGAACACTCCCCCTAAAATGTTGCATCCTTTGAGAGATTCTTTGCTTTGTCGGTGTAAGGCGCCAGGAGGAATTAACTGAAACCCCCCCCTCAGAATGTGTAAGGATTGATTGCTCATAGCTTGTCATACCTGCCATGTGTGTGGAGCAATCTGAACATGTACCACACATGACGGTTTCCCTGAGCTCACCATGTAGAATTTCAGCTTATTGATGATCACACAATGTTGATGAGTCAGGGGAGGCTTCAGCAGTTGACTGATGATTGTTGTAAGATGACCGTTGACGCGAGGTTGATTGAATTATCTACGATTTTCAGACCTTTACTTTGAAGTTTAGAAAAGCTTTGACCTCAGGGTTGACAATGAAAGAATTTGAACAGATTTGCTTAAGTTTTGACCTGGACATCGGTGATTTACAATGTTTGTCGGAAAACTAACGTTTTGACCCTCAAAGACTGCGAGTGAGGGCGTGTGAGAAAGGGTTCTGAGGCATAGCCCGAGAATTAATGTAGATCTTTTCGTTAGCTTTCCAACAAAAAAAATTGCTCAAATCGGATCACCGAGTCAAAAGTTATGGCCAAAACAGTGCGGTGTCGCAGAAAATCTCTAATTTTGAGTTTTTGAGGAATTTCTTCGAAGTTGAGGTTCTTGATGATGAATATCGAGGGCAAGTGGATTTTAAACAAAATTCTAAGGCAATACTTCGAAATCCAAATCTCGAGGTTGCCTCGAAGAATAATGGCGAAATCCACCTGCAAAACAAACCTCAGAATATCGAAATCTGCAGAATTTCAAAATGTTTGAACATCGAAAACTTTGGAGTTTCGAAAACCTCATAATCTCGAAAACTTGCTGTTTGAAAAACATCAGAACATCGAAAACTCCTGAAACATTTATAAGCAGGGAATCATTCAGAGATCCTTATAATGTAAAGCTTTGATGAACTGCAAAGGATGTCAAGATTCGAATTATGAGTTCCAAGAAACTGCAAACTTTGAAAGATTCAAAACATCGAGAAATTTTGAAAATCTCGAAATCTTCAGAATGTCGAGATCCAAAACATCGAGATCCCAAATGTCGAAATCCCAAAACTCGAAATTCCTAAACTCAAAATTTCAAATCTCGAGATTACAAATCTCGAGATCTTGATCTCGAGATTACAAATCTCGAGATCTTCATCTCGAGATTTCAAATCTCGAGATCAAGATGTCGAGATGTAAATCTCGAGATCAAGATTTCGAGATTCAAATCTCGAGATCAAGATGTCGAGATGCAAATCTCGAGATCAAGATGTCGAGATACAAATCTCGAGATCAAGATGTCGAGATTCAAATTTGAGGGAGTCAACTCCACCCCTTTTACTTTTCCTTTTCCATTTAATTTGAGGGAGTCAACTCCACCCTTCAAATTTGAAACCCTCCATCCCATTACCCACTTTTACTCCCCCAAATTGTGAACCACTATAAGGAATTAGGAGTCAAAAAAATCCACTTTTAGCATTTTGGACTCCTAATCCTACACCACTCCAAACGGTGTAAGAGGATTATATTAATAAATTCCAAGCAATGCATAGAGATGACGGAAAAATAGTATCTCCGCACGCGACAAAATTGGAGGTTATGTCATTAAAAAGTTGAGTAGCGTGACTAAAGGTCATATGTGTGAATATGGGGTGTTTGGAACTGATTTTGCTTCTGCTTCTTTTTTATAACAGAAACAAAATCAAAATCAGTTTTGAGAAGCTGGTCTTTCTCAGCTTCTAAAAAACTGCTTCTCGGAGTACATTAGAGAACCAGAAGTACTTCTCCACTTTCACCCAAACACTTCAACTTCTGTTTCTACTCCCTAAAGGAGCAAAAGCAGTTTTAAAAATCAGATCCAAACACTCCCATATAGCTTAACGAGTTCATATTGGAAAACACGATCTGTTAGATCGCAAGCTCACATATTATTCTATAATCAAGCTCATCTATTCATCAATATACATAATCTTTTTACTCCCTCCGGTCCTACATAAAGTTCTGTGTTTGATTTCACACAAATTAAGGAAATAAATTTGACTTTACTGTAGAGTACATTGTTATGTCACTGTTTGGCATTGTTTGGCACTGTTTTGATGTAGATAATTTTCCAAATAAGGAAGGAGAAGAAGTGTAGACTTTATTTTGGACCGTCCCAAAAAGGAAAATGTGAACTTTATTTAGGATTGGAGGGAGCATTATTCCAAATTTTGAGGATTGTTCTTGTATGATCCCTATTTTTTCATATAATCTCGTAGATTAATTTATTTTTACATAAACAATGTCTTATGTTGATTGGGTAACTGTTTGATTTCTCTTCATTTCCGTTGTGACCAGAAAAGTGAACGGCGAGCGGACATGACATCACATTACTCCTCTGTCATGTCGTTTTAGTGTAGCAATTTGAATTTGTCGCTTCATTCAGCGGCGCTGCTGTGCTACCACTGCTACGTTGATGGGCAAGAGACTTTTGGGCCGACCCAGGACCTTGACTAAACCTAGCCTGCTGGGACGTGACTGAGAACTACTAGACTGGAGCAATAGACTTCGGTTGTTAACTAATGGATCGTTGGGCCGCAAGACCTAGATTACGAGGGATAGGCTTTAAGTGGTTCAGAACTTAGTTTGGGATTTTTGAAGAATGAGTTGAAGCCTGTTCCATGTCAGTCTTGTACCTTTTAATTTCATGTTAAAATTTCTCTCCCTCTGCCCCTTGCCGCAAGGTGGAGGAGTGGGGCACGTTGGATGCTATTTTAGTTTAGATTAGTGATAGAGTATATGACCCAGGAACCCCGATCCACATACTTTCACTACTACGATCAGGCCCAACAGGCCCAAGTGACCAAAACAAAGCAAACTCGACTCCGGACAACACATACTACAACAAGGTGTAGGGGACGTATGGCCTGAAGAGTCCTGGGTACATACGGCCTCTAACACATGGAGAGCCTGGGGTACATACGACCTCTAACACATGAAGAGTCTTGGGTACGTACGACCTCTAACACATTAAGAGCCCTGAGTACGTACGACCTCTAATACATGAATAGCTCCAGCTATGTACGACTCTTTGGGGACGTACGTCCTTCACCACATGACGCCCCCCAGAGGACGTACGTCCTCTAGCGCTGAAGTCCTCCCCAACTACATACAGCCTCAGGGGACGTACGTCCTTCAGCACATGAAATCCTCCTCCAACTACGTGCGGCCCAGAGGAAATACGTCCTCCAGGACATGGGAGCCCCCGGGGGACGTACGTCCTCAGCACACCACCAAGGCCCAAATGGCCCCTGGGTACGTACGGCCTTCGACACAGGCAGCCTTCGGCTCATACATGACAAACATGGCCTTCGGCACATGCAGCCCTCGGGTGCATGTAGCCGAGGACACTCTCCTCGACAGGATCTCCTCTCCACATGCGCTGAATCATCGCATTAAATACAACGTCACACCCAAACCGTCGCATTGAATACGGCCACGTGCTATGTCGGTGTCACCCTGGCTGAGTTGACCCTCCATCGCTGGTTACTTGACACATGTACTTGCATTATTTACACTGCATTTATGGCAGCTATAAATAGCTAGCCTCTTTTTTCCCGAAATTCTACCGTTGGGTAGGGTAAATGTCGGGCACATTTACCATATTTATTTATTAATGTTTCCAGTACAGGTGGGGATTACAAATGTTCTATAATAAAAGAAGGGGGGAAGGCCCGATTAAAGGCAGATGATGTACTGCATTGTTCGGCCTAAAAATTAGCTCAAGAAGCAGAACCGTCCAAGGTGTGGTGCTGCATCCAAACATAATAAAACAAAGGGGAATATTTGTTCTGTGGAACCCTACTGTCGGTTAGGGTTTTTAGCGAGAGGGGGAGAGTTGAGGGATCATGCGTCGGTTCGGTCGATGGTGTCATTCGCTCAGAGAGAGTGTCAATTCTTTAAAATCAACCGGCGTCCCTGAAGTAGAAGGTGCCATGGAGGTCTTGGTGATATGCTCTTTTCACCGGAGTGGGGAGGGTGCTGTGGTCAAAGTGCTGGATGGTTTGCTTTGAGAGCCCTTCTTTTGCCAGTAGGTGTGCCACCTGGTTCGATTCTCTTGGCCTGAAGATGAGCTCAGTGTTGTTCGTCCGTCGAAGAATCCAAAGTTTGAAGAATTTGTCGGTCAGGTAAGTCGGTGCTCTACTGTGCCCATGAGTGACGTTGAATATTGTTAGCAAATCTGTCTGTATCACTATTTTGTTGTAACCCTGTTCTGAAAAATTTGAAGCAAGGACAAAATTGCTTGGAGTTCCGCTTGGAGAGGACTGTTGCTGTGCAGGGGGGAAGTCGTAGCTCCGAAAAGCTCACCTCTGCTGTTTCTGAGGATAGCTCCTCTGGCGCTGCGGTTGTCAACGTGCGAGGCGTCAACGTTGAGGCATAGAGTGTCAGGCGAGGTATGGCCCCATTTAAAAATTCGAAGTTTATGTAAGCCTTTGTTGTGAGGAATCAGTCCGTCTACGAACAGTTCTGTGTCGAATCTGTAGAATTTTTTGTTGCAGTTGTTGGTGCTCCAGTCTTATATGTGTTTCTTAATTGCTTTTGTTGTCTGCTTTGCGTTGAAAGGCTTGTTGTCCCAGATTTTGGAAGTGTATCCCTTCCATGTGTGCCATAGTATTATTCCTGGTATTAGGTTCCTCATGTTTCCTGTCATGCTTGATTGTTGTCCTCCTAGCCACCATTTAAACAAAGTTTGTTTAAGGCTGTTGTGTGAAATGTTACCTACCTGCAAAATGTTAGAAAAGAAAATCCAAATGGGCAGGATAATGGGGCAGGAGAAAAGGGTGTGGTTTCCGGTGTCTTGGGATTTTAGGCAGAAAGGACATTGGGTGGCTTGTTGGATTTGGAGCCTGGAAAGGTTATCTAGGAAAGGTAGGATGTGGGAGTTGAGTTTCCATAGGAAAAGTTTGATATAGAGTTTGTGTCTTGACTGCCAAATCTGTTTATTGCTGAATGTTGTTGGTTTGGATGTTCTTATGTTGTTATATGCGCTTGTGAGGGTGAAGTGTTTGTTCGGGGTGGCATTCCAGAGTAGAGTGTCATTATGTTGGGATGTAAGGGTCGTACCGAGGGGGTGGATGGCGCATATCTGCTTCCAAGAGTGGGAGTCCTTTTGGGTTGTTTTCATCTCCCCTGTCCTGTCATAGCGTACATGCATGTAGTCCGCCCATAAGGAGCGTTTTGTTTTAAACATCCACCAGGTTTTCAGTTGGAAGGCGGTTTGTAAGTCGGAGAGGGATCTAATGTTGACCCCTCCTTCCTCCCCCGGGAGGCAAAGTTTTTTCCAACTGAGCCAGTGATGTTTATTGATTCCTTTTGTGTTTCCCCAAAAGAAGTTTCCCATCAGTTTGTGAATTGCATTGATGATTGATCTAGGAGTTTTTGAAACTGCCAAATGGTGGAGCGGAATGGATCCAAGTACATGTTTGATTAGTATTAGTCTTCCTCCCTAGCTAAGAACTTTTGATTTCCAGGTGATTTGGATTCAATTGCCTGCATAAGGGCTGCGCAGTGTATTGGTCTGGTTATTCCTTGATGTAGAGTTGCCCCAAGGTATGTTACTGGTAGGTTCGTGGTGACCATTCCAGTTTGTTTTTCCATAATTCTTTTTCTGTGTGGATTCATGAGTTTGCTGACTATGATTTTGCTCTTTGACAGGTTGATGGTAAGTCCGGTTGCACTGGTGAATTTATCCAAGAAGGATTTCAGGTTTTTCATGGATGACGGAGAACCATTGAGGAAAATCATCACATCGTCCGCGAATGCGAGATGTGTTGTTGTTAAAACCCCCCTCCCTATTTCATACGGCAGTAGCTTGTTTTCGGCCATGAGCCTTTGTAAGCCTCTCGAAAGGCACTCTGTAATAAGTAGGAATAGGTATGGAGATAGGGGGTGACCCTGCTTGACCCCCCGTTGTGGCTTGAAGAATCCGTGTGGTTCTCCGTTCACAAGGACGGAAATGTTTGTGGCTGCCAGATTGCTCATGTTGAGCGCGGTAGTGGTCTCATTGATGCCAACCTTAATTAAGGTTGCTCGTAAAAATTTCCAAGAGACCCGGTCAAACGCTTGGGCTAGGTCCAGCTTGACTGCCACATTGCTTCCTCTGGCCTTTTTGTCGAGGTGAAGAAGTATCTCGTTGGCCAACATGATGTGTGTGTGAATGTTTTCACCAGCCATAAATCCGATCTGTTCCGGAGATATTATCTTGCGCAATAGGGGTTTGAGTCTGTTCACCAAGATTTTGGTGCAGACTTTATTGGTGAGGTTAGCCAGACTAATCGGCCGAAACTGATCAAGGGTTTTGGGTGAGTCGCATTTAGGGATTAGGACGAGTAGGGAGCAATTTAGTGCCTTGGGCATCGGGGTTCCTGTGAAGAACTCTTGGATGGCCGTTGTAAATTCACGGTGAATAATGTCCCAACAAGACCTGAAAAAATGCCCATTGAAGCCATCTGGGCCTGGGCTGCTATTTGGGTCAAGAGCCCAGACAACATCTTTGATTTCCAGGGGGAGCGGAATTGCTGATAGGGACCTGTTGTCTAAATCCGTAAACACTGTAGGAAGGAGGCTGATTAGTGGTGGACTCGGGTCGGGCCAACCGGCCCGGAACCGGACCGGCCCGCTACTGTGCGGGCCTGGACCGGCCCGCTACTGTGCGGGCCCGGACCGGCCCGGTTCGTTGATGAGGTCACGGTTCGGGCCACCCGGCCTGGTCATGTAGCGGTTCGGGCCCGGGCTTATAAGTTGGTGAACCGGCCCGGCCAGGCTGGGCCCGGTCTGGGCCTCAACGGTCACAAAAAAAAAAAAAATTTAAAAAAATTTGAAGGCTCTACAAGCCGTTGGGAGACCTCCCAAACGGCTCTATAGCCGTTGGGAGCATAGGAGGGGGGGGGTCTGGGGGTTATTGGGGGTGGGGTGGGGTGGGGGTGGAGTATACAAAAAAAAACCTATTTATACTCCTATTTTCTATACATTTTTTACACCTACAACTCTTTCTACTCTCTAAATTCTCTATTCTCTTAATCTCTCATATTCAATCATCTTCATTCTTCATCTTCTCCAAATTCTTTCTACATATATATAATTTATATAATTATTATATCTACTTATATATTATAATATTAATTATCTACTTATAAATATATACTTATACACATTCATATTATAATTCTTTACGCATTATATTATATACTATATATTGTTATACATATAACATATATATATTATATATTACTTATAATATATTTACACATTATATATTTATATATACTATATATAGTTATACATTATATTATATATTACTTAGAATATAGTTATACATTATATTATATATTACTTATAATATATTTACACATTATATATTTATATATACTATATATAGTTATACATTTGATTTATATATACACTTCTCTTTATCTATTTAATTACTTAATTGTTTCATTTTTCATATTAATATTAGTTAAAGTAGTTAAAGTTAATTGTTTCATTTGTCATATTAATATTAGTTAAACTACTTAATTGTTACATTTCTCATATTAGTTAATTGCTACATTTTTACATTTCTCATATTAGTTAATTGCTACATTTGTACATTTCTCATATTAGTTAATTAGTTAATTGCTACATTTTTACATTTCTCATATTAGTTAATTAGTTAATTGCTACATTTTTACATTTCTCATATTAGTTAATTAGTTAATTGCTATATTTTTACATTTCTCATATTAGTTAATTGCTACATTTGTACATTTCTCATATTAGTTAATTAGTTAATTGCTACATTTTTACATTTCTCATATTAGTTAATTAGTTAATTGCTACATTTTTACATTTCTCATATTAGTTAATTAGTTAATTGCTAAATTTTTACATTTCTCATATTAGTTAATTGCTACATTTTTACATTTCTCATATTAGTTAATTAGTTAATTGCTATATTTTTACATTTCTCATATTAGTTAATTGCTACATTTGTGCATTTCTCATATTAGTTAATTAGTTAATTGTTACATTTTTACATTTCTCATATTAGTTAATTAGTTAATTGCTACAATTTTACATTTCTCATATTAGTTAATTGCTACATATCTCATTAAAGTAAAAAAAACTAGTTAATTTTTACATTTCTCATATTAGATTATTAGTTAATTGCTACATATCTCATTAAAATAACAAAAATAGTTAATTTTTACATTTCTCATATTAGTTAAGTGCTAATATTTGTTCAATTTTAAATATGGAGCGAGGTAGACATTCTGTAGATGTGGGTAATCTCCAACGCAACCGCAAGAGGGAGATTGCATCGACTCGATCTACTTCACGCAAAGGCAAAGGTAAAGCGCGGGCCGAGTCTTCTTTTCAAAGTCGAGATGATTTTGAAACGGATTACCAACGGCGAGATGGTATGATGATGTCCGATGAGGAACTACAACACCTATTGTCCCAAAATGATCCACGTTTTGCACAAGAACAACAATTCCCGACAACCATCGATGAAGAGGAGCTCGAGGAAGAGGATGACGATGGGGAGGAGGACGCGGGGGACGACGGGACTCCGGATGATGAGGAAGAGGATGAGGGCCCTTCAACGACTACAACCAAAATTGGTAAGAAATCTAAATCTAAATCTAAAATTATTGAAAACAATTTTACAAAAAGGAAAGATGAAAAAACCGAAAAATGGTACGCAAGTTGCAATCATTGCAAGAAAGAGTTTAGCTTGGGAATTTCTGGCGGATACGGGAGTCTCAAAAGACATCTTCAGTCCACCCATGTTGTGGAGTATGCGAAAATAGACAAAGGAAAGGGGAAGCAAACACAAATATCAAGGTTTGCAAATTCTCAACCCTTTGGTAATTTTTCCTATGATGATAAAAAACATTTGACTGGTATGTCTCATTTAATTGTTGAAGAAAATTTACCCTTTATTTTTTCCGAAAGTCTTGCTTTAAGAGATTATGCTTAAGGTACTTTAAATCCTCAATTTAGAAATTATAGTCGCAAAACGATTAAAAAAGAAGTTATAAGGCAATATAATTTGGAAAAAAAAAAATTACAAATATTTTTCGCAAACTTTGATGGACGTGTTAGTATTTGTAGCGATATATGGGAGGATACTTATCATCATTTATATTATTTGGGTCTAACTGCACATTATATTGATGATGGTTGGAATATGCATAAACGTGTTCTTGCTTTTCGTGAATTCAATGATCGTCACACTGCTGATAATATTTATATTCTCATTGAACGTATTTTAATTGAGTATAATTTGATTGATAAGGTGTTTGCTGTAGGTTTTGATAATGCTAGTAATAATACTGCTGCTATACCTAGATTACGTGAATTGTGTGGTGCTTCTACATTGATGGGTAGATTTTTTCATCAACGTTGTGCATGTCATATTCTAAATTTGTGTGTACAAGATGGCTTAGCGGCATTAGGAAATGCTTTGGAGGTAGTGAAGGGGGGAATTAAATTGATTTGGGCTAACACTCCACTAAAAATGCAATGGCGGCAATATTTGAAGGATAGACGCGTGAATTATTGTGCTTTTCCTAAAGATTTGTCTATTCGTTGGAATAGTACTTATAATTTAATTCAAGTACTTGTTAGATATAAAGATCATTTTCCAGCTTTTTTAAGACAAACTTGTAACTATATTATAAACCCGGCTGACATCGACACTTGTGAAAAAATTGTTAATGTTTTGGCATATTTTAATAACGCAACTCTAACTTTTAGTCATGTTTATAAACCTACCGCAAACGAATTTTTTGTTGAAGTTGTTAATCTCGCCGGTGCTTTTTGTGAATTTTCCGACGCCGCTTACGTTAGTTATTTTTGTGATTTCATGAAACAAAAGTTTTTAAAATATTATTCACATATTTCGCATATATATGGTATTGCATTTGTTCTTGATCCTCGTTATAAACTTCCTTATTTGCCAAATTGTATAGATTACTATTATGCTTCTTTTTTTCCAACTCAAGAGTTCGATGATAATCCCATCGACCCTAAACAAGAATTCAACGAGGTTAGTAATTTATTTCATCAATTGTATAATGAATTTCATGCACAATATGGTAATGCACCCCCTCCCATGCAACGAACATCTTCTTCATCCAAAGGAAAATCACTTTTGAAATCCGCTTTTGGTTCTCTTTTGAAAAAAAGTAGAGCAACTCCCGCTACTGAACAAAGCTCAGGTAACGAGCTTTCTTTGTATGTAACATTGAATGTTGATTATGAAGTTGGTGATGACTTTGACGTTCTTAAGTGGTGGAAGGAAAATGAAAGAACATTCCCGATTTTATCAAAGATGGCTAAGCAAGTACTAGCAATGCCGATATCAACCGTTGCCGTGGAACAAGAATTCAGTGCGGCCGGCAACGTTCTAACCGATTTTAGAACGAGGTTGAGCCCGAGCTCTCTTGAGACACTAGTTTGCTTTCACGATTGGTTGAAGGCCCAACGAAGAACTCAAGAAATTACCATCACTCCCTCCCGCCACTTTATGGAGGAAACAACCGAAGGCGGAGAGTCCGATTGATTTTTTATTACAAAATGTATTACATTTTTTAAATTCATCCTAATTCTCAATTGTACTTCTTATTTGAAATAAATATACTTCAATTCGAATATAATATATTGTAATTGTAATAAGATTTATTCTAATTATATAATAATTAAAAAAAAAAATTTAAATAGGCCCGGCCCGGCCCGGCGGGTGGCCCGGCCCGTGAACCGGGCGGGTGACCCGAACTGAACCGGACCCGGATTTATCCGGGCCGGTTCCGGGCCTGCCTTCCTAGAACCGAGGCCCGGCCGGGCCCAGGCCCGAACCGGGCCCGAACCGGCCCGAGTCCACTCCTAAGGCTGATTAGGTTGTTTTGGGCTTCTGGATCCGTGGGTTGATTAGAGTAGAGGGACTTGACGTGGGCTTCAGTAGCTTCAACAATTTCCATAGGGTCCGTGATTGTGTTCCCCTTGTCGTCCTCAATCAGTAGTATTTTTTGGTGTTTCCTTTTAGCCCTTACGTAGTCATGGAAGAATTTGGTGTTTGTGTCCCCATCGTTCAACCATTTAATGCGTGCTCTCTGGGACCAAAAACTTTTTTCTTGGGTTAATTTGAGGGTGAGATGGGCTTGGGCCAGGAACCATTGTTCTCGGGTTGAAGGGTTAGGGTTTTTTTCGAACTCAGATTCAGCTCTTTCGGCCTCTAGCTCGGCCTGAGCTATTCCATTTGAGATGAGACCAAAAGTCTCTTTGTTCCAAGTACGAAGAGCCTTTTTTAGATTTTGAAGTTTGTGATACAAGGCTCTCATTCCTCCACCTCTGTACTGCTCTGAGCCCCAATTAATTCTGACTGTCTCTAGGAAGGTGGGTGGGAAAGCCAATGTTTTGGAAACGGAAAGGCATAGGTCCACTGTGGGCTGAGTTGTTGCAGAGTAATAATAGGGGGAGTGGTCAGAAGTGGTCCTAGCAGCATGGTCTTCATTGATATTTTCAAAAGATTTGAAAAAGCTGTCATTGGACAAAAATCTGTTCAGGCGGCGCCAGAGTCTACCAGTTTGTCTAACACCGGTCCAAGTGAATACACTCCCAGTGAATGGGATAGAATTTAGCTGGCAGTAATTAATGCAAGCAGTAAAATCTTGAATGTCATGAAGTTTAGGTGGGGTTTTACCTTGGTGCTCGGAGATGGAGGATATGACGTTGAAGTCTCCTCCGATGAGCCACGGCGTGACCGTGATGTCGCTCGGGCGCCGGAGTTCTTCCCAAAGCGATTGCCTATCAGCTCTTGAATATTTTCCATAAACGGTTGTGTACCAGAAGGTAAAACCGGTAGAGAGTTCCTTGACTCTGCAGTGCACGACTAGGTCAGTTTGACTGAAATGATCCAGAGTGTAGTCTTCCTCCTTCCACATTATCCAGATTCGGTCATCATCTTTAGTGAAGACGTTAGACATTCCTAGGGAGATTTTGAAGTAGTCTGATTGAGATTGGCCAACCATCAGTTCTATAATGGAGATCAAAGAGATTTTCCAATGCCGGATTAGTTTGTGCAGTTGATGAGCATTTTGTCACGGTGCGTCAAAATAAATACAATACTAGTGCTAATACGTAGTATAGCGTAGTAGAGTTCGTATCCACAGGGAAAGAAAATAATTCTCTTTTTATGAACTTAATGAATAAAAAGGGGGGTTTTAGGTTTGAATGATTTAATTTAATAAAGAACTAAGATGAACAATCTATATGTGTTTAATTCAAAGATAAAAAGGACTTGCATTGCTACTTTTCACTTGTTGATATATTTTAGTCGATCATCATCATATCTATAACTTATTCTCTCTCGAATACTCAATCGGAGAGTATATCCACTTCATCGAGAGTAGTTATTAACAACGACCGTTCATTAATAACCCTTACTATTAATCAAATATAGAACAACGCCTTATACCGATTTAATAGTAGCATTTAATCTTTCCAACTCCTTGATGAAATCAATTGAGATTGATAACCTCAACACAACGGTTTCGTTTTAACCAACAAAATTAATCCCTCTTAAGTTTATTAACAACGACCGTGCATTAATAAACCGAAGTTACTTGTGAAACCATCAACGATTAACCATCAGTTCGTTGATCGTTTCTAGTAATAATTAATATATGAAACAAAACTAGTTGATCCTTTAAGTAATGTTCAAAATATTAATATGAAATATGAGTAGGAATTAATTAATATTCAAAGAAGAATATTATTAAAGAAGATGAATCCTACTATAATTAATATCAAGATGTTAACTAATTGTCATCTTAGCAACACTCCCCAACATTAATATAGAGGAAGAAAATACCATTCTAACTAATGTCGAGATGTTAACTAATTGTTATCTTAGCAACCCTCCCCAACACTAATATAGAGATTATATTAAGGAAAGAACTATTAATTAATATTTAAGGAAAGAAGTTAAGAAAATAACTCACAACTTTAATAATCAACAAGCTTCAAGAGAAACACCAAGAATGGAAGTTTAGCTCCTCATTTGGAGACTAAACATAGCTAGAAAAATATAAAGAAATGCTATTCTAAACTGAGCTTAAGAGTATGGAAGAAGGAATGATTTTTAGAGAAGAAAAAGAGTGTTATTTATAGGTGTTTTTCAACACCTTTGGCCGGGTACCCGACCGGGTCAAGTAGTCATCCGACCAGGTCCGGTCAAAATCAGATATTTCCCCACGTTCTGGTGATCTTCGCACACCAGGTTGTCCCCGGTCACTTCTCACCCGACCCGGTGAGGTATGGGGTCCGAACGGGTCCCGCTCTTTCCTCAGTGGTTCGGTTTTCAAATCAGACCCGACTGGGTGAAGTTTCCTACCCAGTCAGGTATTTGCTCCTGGACAGTCAAAATTCCTTTTTCTTCACTTCAACATCCTCCTTTCCAACATCCTAATTCCAAATTCTACTTTACAACTTACAAATGAGAACTAAAATACAATTACAACTAAAATCACACAAATGTTTACAAACTAAATAAAACGTCAAACAATCACCATCAATGAAACATAAAAACACACAATTATGCACTACTAATTAGTGTGCATCAAACACCCCCACACTTAAACCTTTACTCGTCTCGAGTAAATCAAATCAAATCCAAGAAGTCCTAAATGACAAGAATATCAACATAAAACATCCAAGAGTGTTTTTACCACAATATAAAGCATCCCCAATAGTAATTAAAGTAAAATGGGGTCTTCAACTTCATCTTTATCTCCATTTCTCTTTTAAACTTATCACCTTCACGATCCTGCAAAATAGACATTTCTCTCATTTTCTCGTTTTGCCTAGATGTCCTTTCAGGTTTTCAACCCAGCTTTCCACATTTTTCTTTTAATTCTCACAACCTCACTCTTTATTTTATTGTTTTCATTTTTGCTTGAGTTGTCCATTGTGGGTTTTCAACTCAACAAGCTCTTTTTTTTTTGAAAATAAAATAAAAAAAAGAGTAGGATTGTGAGCATACCAGAACAATCTCTGCACCCCCACACTTAGGATCTGGCACTGTCCCTAGTGCCCGCCTAGACCTCCACATTGGTGTGTGTCCTCATCCATGTGATCCCCGCCATAACCACCATCATTGCCACCACCAGAACTCGATCCTTCAAAGTAACCCCACTGAGAGGGGTCATACCATGATGTTGCGGGAGGAGGAGTGGTCATAGAGGAAAAGGAGCCCTGGTGTGCTACATAGGAGTATATCGGACCAAAGGTTCGCCATTGGTCCTCTTCATATCTCCACCAGTCTTCCTGCCATTGTTCCTCCAACCTCTCAAAGCTATGCCTCTGCTCAGTTCTATACTGATCAACTCGCTCTTGAAGCTGGATGTAGTTGTTGTTGATCATGTTCATGTTATTGAGCATCTGTTGCTCGAATGGTGAGTATTGGTAGGCTGGGGCATCAGGTTGTGATTGTGGTGGGTTAGGTATGAAGGGCGGGTTTTCTTCAGGATGTTCTTGATCGGGTTCATCTTGTGCATAGTGCACCGGGATTGCCCCGGGGAGACAGTAGTGATGACCATCACCGATTTCATGGCCCACGATATCTAGGGGGACGTCAGGGGACGGGATATGGATAGATATATTTTGATGTGGGATGATAAGCCAGTTGTAGATTGGTGTCCCAGTAGGTGTCATGTGAGATAGAGCCAAATCTTTGGTCTTTTGCACAAGCCATGACGTGCAAATGAGACGTTTTGGAGTAATGGGTCCTAGGTCTACAAAACCATATAAAGTGGCTAGATGTGTGATTAGGTCCCCTATCACAATTTGTCCGGATGATATTGCCACATTTTTGGAGTTTGTCCATAAGATAGAGGCAACGTCAACTGGTTCTGGTCCAGGTAAAACAGCTTGTGCCAGAATACACACATCCCACATTCTTGTGTGATGATTATTCGGTCTTCCGAGGAAAGAATTTGAACAGAATTTTAGGAAAATACGGAAGACCGGATGTTGAACACAGTTCACACTCAACTTAGAAAGGTCCACCACACCTTGTCTTGTCATTCGTTTCCATAACTCGTACCCCACAAGCGTATCATAAGCACGAGCTTCATCAAACAGAGGGAGGCCAAAATGATGTGCAAATTCTCTTTTGGTCAATGAACGATTTTCATTGAGTAAACGAAAGGTGATGGTGTCATTTGCATGATCATCATCATCCTTTGTATACACATATGAACTAAAGAATTCATAATCCAAATGAGGATAAGTCACATATTGCATTTCTAGCAACCTAGTCATTCCAATTCTTGCAAATATATCACGCATGATCATATCAATCCAAAGGAGGGCTAGAGTAGTAATGCACATGAATCGGGATTGTTTTACCTCCCTTTGTGCTTGTCCCTCGAAGAGTTGCTTTTGTGCCTCCGTTGCAAATTCCACGCTTTCATAGCCCGCTACCGGTGGGATAGCTCTTGAAGAAGAAGCTTTGGATTTTTTTGGAGCCATGGGAATTGAAATTTTTTTAAAGGAATTTTCGGACTTTTGGGTAGGGTGGGATTTGCATGGCTTTTATGGGTATGGTGTTGAAGAGGATGGTGAGAAGAGTAAGAATATGGTATTGGTAGAGGATTTTTGGGGAGATTTTGGACCTTGAATGTCCAAGAATGGGGATTTTCGAATTTTTCGTAGGGTTTTTGGGTTTGGTTGATTTGGAAGGTTTTGGGGGATTTTTTGGGTATAGAGATGAAGAAGGAAGTGAGGAGATGAAGAAAATGGGGTTTTTTAGTGGATTTGGTTAAGGAAAGGGGGAGATTTGAAGGTTTGGGTGTTTGAAAATCGTGGAATTTGGGTGTTTTGGGCATTGGGAGGAAGAAGAAGTGGGAGCGGAAGAGGTGATCCCGACCTGGTATAGCTCTGTTTCCCGTTCGCCCGGTCGGGTGGGTATTTTACTCGGTCGGGCGTACACTGTTTGCCCGAGGCAGAATGTTTTTTGTTGGGTTGCCCGACCGGGTATAGGAGTCTACCCGGTCGGGTGTAAACTGTTCACCCGAGGCAGAAGTTTTTGCTGGGTTGCCCGGTCGGGTATGGAAGTCTACCCGGTCGGGCGAAAAATTTATTCTTGTTCCGCTCTAGCCTCGCCCGGGTGGTTGCTCGGGTGTTTTGTTTTTAGAGGTAACCCGACCGGGTTGGGGTTTATACCCGGTCGGGTCCAATCCCAGGTCATTTTTTTTAACACACACACTACTGAAAAAAAAATTGAAAATAAAAATGAAGAAATTGGGTTGCCTCCCAAGAAGCGCTTCATTTAATGTCGCGGCACGACGTTATTTTTTTTTTCTTTTATGTGGGATCGCGAACATCCCTTGTTTCATTTTTCTTTTTCGGCCTTCTCCAGTAAGGCCGAGATTTCTTCTCTGGTATCACTTCAATCCCAGGTGGGATCCATTCTCCTTTTGAAAATTTGAACAATTCTTCTTTTTCAAAAAGTGTGATTTTCTCATCTTTTTTCTCAACAAAAATATTCGGGGATTGTGGTTCACAATCATTTAGAGAACAAAGATATTGGTCTTTAATTTGTTTTTTCGTAGAATAAAAAATGTTGAATTCTACCTTTTGATCATCAAACTCTAAAGTTAATGAACCATTAGACACGTCTATTTTTGTTTTTGCGGTTTCTAGAAAAGGCCTACCCAAGAGGATGGGTGTAGTTTGGTTATCATCTCCCATTTCCAGGACATAAAAATCAACAGGGAAAATCAAATTTTCTACTTCTACTAGCACATCTTCTACTACACCCTTCGGGTAAGTATTAGACCAATCCGCTAGTTGAATCACTACACCAGTTTGATGTAGTGGGCCGAGTTGTAAGGATTTATATAAGGAATAAGGAATGACATTTATTGACGCTCCTAAATCCAACAAGGCCTTAGAAAATAAGGTATCCCCTATTTTGCAAGGAATAGTGAACATGTCTGGATCGCTACATTTCTCAGGGAGTTTCTTTTTAAAAATGGCCGAGACACGTTCACTAACTTCAACCTTTTCTTTCCCTTCCAGTTTATTTTTCTTTTTCATTGTGCATAGTTCCTTTAAGAACTGTGCATAACGGGGAACACTTTTGATCAGTTTGAAGAGTGGAATGTTTACCTCAGAATTGACGAAGGTTTCGTAGATGTCCCGATCATTCTTCAGCTTCCTCGTGTCTTTCAATGCATCAGGGAATGGAGGGAGTGGTTCATATGATGACAGTGGAGGGA